AGGAAGGAAGGAAGGAAGGAAGGAAGGAAGGAAGGAAGGAAGGAAGGTTGGTTATTGACCCTCTATGTATTGTTGAGTTATAATATTCATTTATCTGCTGGCTGACTCTTATCTTTTATTGACATATCAACGACATCAGGTTACTTACTTCAGAATTATATGTTTTTGATTATTTTTTTAAATGAAATAAACTGGCTTAAATATAAGCTATGCCGGGTAGAATTTCTTGAAGATATAATCCCAGAACATCTGAAAGACAGAAATTGGTGACTCACTTGAATTTTGCAGGTGTTTTTTAATTACACAATCTGTGGTTTTGTGTTTTACAAAATTAAGGAGTTGGACAGACAAGAAAAAAAATGTGAATATGTGTCAATATTTGTCCTCTGTGGTAGAGATGGGAGGTTTTACAATATGACAAATAAATAAAATAAATGAAAAAAACCTGTTCTCCAACTCTCTTTCATCTAATTTTCTTTCCTAAGAAGGGCCGCACCTAAAGTTGATCTGAAATTTGATTTTGATCTTTGGCAATCCTGATGCTCAGACACCAAGCTAAGTAGTTACTTGACCTCAAGATATTTGAAACCCTATCTATATCACAAGATGAAATAAGAGGAGGAAAAACACTGGCAATTTAGTTTTTTTCCATATTAAAATATAGCAAACATTACTTAACCCTCAATTTCTTTTATTTTATGGATTACACTATATTATATTTGGTTTCTAGTTTCCAGATGGTTATCTAGAGTCCACAATTTATATATGCCTACATAAACTCTACTATAGTGCAGAGAGCCAAGAGCTGTGAATGTTGCACAGAGAGCAATTTCATAATCAGCTCAACACACCCACACAGCCCCCAAAACTGGAATATAGTAGCTTGAATTACGGTAAAATGATCACTGTAGTTTACAGTTCACAAGACTTGATATGCTATGTAATGCTGCCATCTAATGTCTAAACATTGGCCTGTCTGCAACATTAATTTATCAGTATTTCTGTTGCCATGGCAGGGTGTTTATTCTGAGCAATATTGGTTGGATATCAATATATAGAAGTAGAGCTTAACTAGAAAGACATAAAGCAACCCATTCCCTGGAGAATGTGAGGGCTAAAATAGGAAAGGGATATGAGTTGGCTGTTAGAAATCTTTCTTGCCATACTGTGGATATCCAAAATGGGGTTGAGAATGTGTTTGTATGAATGTAGGGCTGTGCAAAGCTTTGAGGAGGTGTATGGGGATTCTCAGTCATCCAGGCCATGGTTGTCCCAAAAGTGCTTTTTCAAAAGGCAACTGGACTTAGTATTCCTTGAAGATGTTTTGTTTCTCATCCAAAAATCTTCTTCAATTGTGAAGTTCTGAAGCTTTTGGGATGAGAAATGAAACGTCTTCAAAGAAAAACAAAGTCCAGTTGCCTTTTGAAAAAGCACATTTGAAGAGGTGTTTCACTTCATTAAAGATTGAAATAAAGGAACTCAATAATAGTACAACAGCTGCCCACATTTCTAAACATAAGTGGGAAATGCTTTTAGTTTACTTTGTGAGCCTATGTACCTCCTATGCAATTATGAGTTATGAGCGTGTACTCAGCACATCTAACAACTTATCAAAGGACCAGTCTGAACATTATCCTGATTTTTTTTTTACAAGCAAGTGAGATACTTACACCACATAACTGTTTCCAAATTCTGAAGAGCATTAACTCTAGCATGCTTCAGTGTTCTCCCACAGCAATTTTGAAGGGCCAATGCAATAAGTTGACTGTGCCCCTGTGGACAAAGAGCTGTTGAAACAACAGTTCATGCCCTCTATAAGGACTCAAGGGTCTACTTCTGTAACTCCTTACATAGTAAAATACTAGGGAAATTTTGATCTTTTAAAGTTACATCTAAATCTGTACATTTATAAATCAGTATGATTCAGTCTCCTTGAATGTAGTTAGTAAAATATTATATTACCTGAAAAATTAGGCAGATGATTGATTGTTCACCAATGAGCCCACCCAGTGTAATATTTTATCTTGTTTTGTTTTTTATTTTTAATGTGTTTCTGTTTGCAATTCTGGTATTCTGATCATAATAAAAACATTCCTT